AATTGTTCCACAAAAAGCTATGGAGGGAGAGACAATCTTGTTGACTTTGTACTCATCAACATTCTTCAAAATCACAGAGCCTCTCTTGAAGTCTACTTGAGCTTCTGCTGTTGCCAAGAATGGTGTTCCTAGAAGAAGTGGTACCTCTCTTGAATATGTCTTCTCCATAACCACAAAATCTGCTAGCACCAAGCAATTCCCAATCTTCAAAGGAAAAATCTTCACCATGCCCAAAGGTCTTATTGAGGTATTATCCACAAAAGTAATAGAGGCTTTGCAGGGCTTCAACTCCTTGATTCCTAAGGTTCGTCTTAACTGGAGAGATATGACATTCACAATTGATCCTGAATCACATAAAGCTATCACATTGTCTAGCATCTCAAGCTCACAAGTGATAAGAAACTTTCCTGGAATGGGAAGCTTTTTCAATGTCTTCAGCTCCTTGTTTCTCTTTAGATTAGCCCCCACATTCACTAGAATTGGCTCCACTACTTCCAGCTTGTCAAAAACTTCTTTGAGGAACCTGATTTGATCCTTCACTTCAAGCAAAGTGGTGTCATGAGAAAGTTTTATTCCAGCATCTTGTATATCCTTCATGAACTTTGAATAGACTGCCATCTAAGCCTTTGTAAAGTGTATTGTGGGGTAAGAGATTGGTGGTTTATAAACTTGAACTTCAGAAGCATTACCCTTCTCATTGTTGCTTGAAGATCTACCCACTTGGCAATCATGCAGCTCTTTGAAGTCTTCAGGACTTTCTCTAACCAAGACCATAAAAGCGTGGTATGTCTCTACAAGTTCCTTATCAGCTTCACTGAGCTCTGGTTTGGCTTCTTCTTCTGAAGCAACTAAGGCCTTCTCAGCCTCTTCCTTCTCAGCAGCTTCTTTTGCAGCTCTCTCTTGCTCCAAAGCAAGCTCTTCTTCTATGTTCAAGTTTTCATCTAACCTTTGGAGGAACTGTTCTACAATATCAACAGCCACTTTATCATCAATGGTGACATTGATGACATTTCCCCCCACACTCAGCCTTTAACATGTCCACATGTAACAACATCTCTTGAAGCATTATGCCAAGGTCTTCCAATGAAGCATCTTGATCATCAAACTCTTCATCCTCTTCAGCAAGCAAGTGGCAGAATTCCTTAGGATTGGCCTCACTCTTTCCTGGTAATTGATTCTGAGGCTTTGAAGATGAAGTTCATTTGCTTTCTAGAGACTTGACTCTTTGGCTTAGAGCATCTAACTTGCCATTCAGGTCACAAGTTATGGCGTATATCTTGTTGTGTACTTCAGCAAACTTCTTGTGCAGCTCTATAGTGGTGTTGGCTTGACCAGTCAACAGCTGTTGCATCATCTGCTTGATATCAACATCTTGAGTGCTAGAAGAAGTTTGTGTATTGCCAAAACGTGGTGGGACAAAAGCTAGTCTTGGCTGAAAGTTTGCTTGTTGAAAACCTCCTTGAAATGTTGGTCTTGCAGCAAAATTGTTCTGCTGGTTGAAAGGAACAAATGGTTTGGTTCCTTGGCTTTGTTGAGCAGCTTGTGATGGATAGACTTGATCCTGAGGGTTAGCCACGTTGGTGCTTCTATAAGAGAAGTTGGGATGGTTCCTATAGTTGTTGAAACCGCCTCCTTGTTGATTCATGTAGAAGGCTTCTTCTTCTACAACTGTCCCATCCTCTTCTTGTGTAGCAACACTATCACCAACAAAGCTGACATTCTTGAAAGATACACCCAGTAGCTTGTCTAACTTGTCACTCAAAGCTTTAATCTCCTTCTTTGTTGTGCTCTCACCTTCAGCGCTTACAACAGCTCTAGATGTTCTGTCATACTCCTCACCATAATTTCCATCAGAATGTGCTAAGTTCTCCACAAGAGCTAGTCCATCAACAACAGTATTCCCCATAAAATTTCCAATTGATGCTGTATCCAAGAGCATCCTGTACTTTGGCGTCACTCCTCTATACAAAGTAGACAGCAAGCTTTCATTTGTGAACACATGGTGAGGGCATTGCAAAGTGTATGACTTGAAATGCTCACATGCTTCAGCAAAAGTCTCATTCCCATGTTGTGTGAAACTGCTTATGGTGTTCCTGAGCTTTGCTGTTCTTGTGGAGCTGAAAATTTTGTTGAGGAATGCTGTCTTGCATTCATCCCAAGTAGATATAGAGCCTTGTGAAAGTGTCTTCTCCCACTGATGTTCTTTGGCACCTAAGCTGAAACAGAACAAGCGCAGCTTCAAAGCATCTTCAGAGACTCCTTGAATCTTGGTCATACCACACACCTTGTCAAAGTACTCCAAATGATCCAAAGGGTCTTCATTGGGCAGGCCATGGAATTTGTTTCCTTGCACCATGTTGATCAACCCAAGCTTGATCTCAAAGTGGTTTTGGTGCACAGCTGGAGCATGAATGTCATTCCTGTTGTGGTGAGTATCAGGCGCATCACCAGCTCCTATAGGTCTTGCAGCTCTAGGTGCATGAACTGGTACTCCCAAACCATGAACTCCAGCCGCTTGGTTCAAATCATCTTGTGCTTCATCTATGTGTGTTGCAGCTTGTTGTAATGGTGCCTGTCCTTCAACACCAACATGTCGTAACTGAGCCTCTTGCACTGCCATCCTCTGTTCTTCTAACTCTTGAACTCTCTGTCTTACAGCTCTTCTCCTATGAATGTTGTCAATGGAAGGAGTCACATTTGATGAGCCTTTGGACTTCAAATTCATACAAGTACCTGAAAAAACAGAGCATATTAGTAACCTTAATGAAAAGAACTTAGTCTAACAGCAATGTTAAACTCAAACAATCCACTAATGGCAACGGCGCCAGTTTGAAGCAGGCCTTTTTGCAAGATCTGTTTATACTTCAAAGTTATCCTAATCCCCAAATCTGATGTAGTATAGGGTCTTAGGTGTCAAACACACTTGTGGAAGATGAGATACAAACAATGATGTAAGCTAAGTGAGATTGGGGATTTTGTTTGTAAAAAAATGATTCTAACAACCTAACAATGCAATGAAAAGAAAGCAGAAACCAAATGCAAGTAAACAAGAACTAGGCAATGAACTTATAGCAATGACTAAGCAAGAACTAAATGATAATGACTAAACAAGAACTAAGCAAGATGATTTTAAAGACAATTGATTAAAAGCGAGACTCGAGATTCTAAGCAATTGTGGGATTAGTGGTTTTCAAGAATGACAAGGGGATTTCTAGCAAACGCAAACATCAAGCATTCAAAAGCAAGCATTTCTCAATGTTGAACTCCTAGACAAGGTATCTAAAGTGAACTAGCTTGGCATCAATAAGCAATTCAAATTCAATAAGATTGAAGTGTCAAACCCACTTGTGACGGCGTATTCTTCAACCATGAGCATAAAGATCAGAACTATTCTAGCCTAAGAGAAGCATTAAGCATGCAAACATTCTCTCACTCAAGCAAGAATTCAGATCAACTTATCAATCTTGTGAACCAATAAGTACCTAGTTAGCTAAGCACCAATCAAGAATATAGACTTAAGCATACAGTTGCAACATCCTAACAATGCTAAGCAATGAGCAGGAATTAAACAAAGGCAAGATCTTTCAATGCATACTATATAACCATCAAGCAAGAATCTCAAAACCAGCATTATCTAGCCCTAAGAAAATCATCTAGCAATGGTGAACTATCACTTTGGTGTCACTGAACAAAGGAAACATAGACCAAGCTAAACTATCAACCAAATAAGCGAATCATGCTTAGAAATAAGATAACAAACCATCTAGTGAATCATATGCATCAATTAATACCATGTTCAATCAAAAGGAGCAAGCTTTATTGACAATAATCACTTTGCAAAAGAAGGAGACAACAGAGAACTTGTAATCAAGCCTAATCACCCCTTAATCATATCTTAATCACCACTTTCCCTACTTAGAACCTAATCTCAGGTAGACTACTCACTAATCATGTTTAATCCCATTTGTTTGGAGTTAAACATGATCAGATGAGATTAAAATTGCAAAGATGATAAATCTAAACTAACAGGATGGTAGAAATAAGATCAAGAGATAAGATTCAACCATAAAAATGCAAACTTTATTAAAAAAAAGTATTACTAGAGCAAATCGCCCTAAGGTTTTGAACAAGATGAAAAGAGAGAGTATTTTTATAGAAAGACTAAATTTGGATAAAGATAATGTTTTGTGGCTTCCCTATTATAGTAGGGAACCAAAAGAAGCATAAAAAAACCTAAAAATAAAATAAGGTCAAAAAGTTAAGTGATCAACGCGCGGGTGAGTTGCATCGAGGTGGTACGGAAGGTGTTCTGCTCGATGTGCGACCTCGATATGGCTCATGCAGCGCATATCGGCTTCCCTGCTCGATGTTGGACCTTGATGCAGACCAAAGACTTCTCGTGCTGATCCTCTTCTTCACGTCCTGCGGCTTACATCGAGCACACTCCATGGAGGTTTTGCTCGATATGCTTGATCGATATGGACCAGACTTTGCAAGAACTCCATTTCTGACATCTTCTTTGATCATGAGCTGCTTTTATCTCCTCTCCAGTTCCTAGGAACTCCAAAAACACCTGAAAATCACCACAAACATGCATATATATGCAAATATATGCAATCATAAGCTAAATACATGCCATGTTGATTTTAAGTGAAAATGAGACTAATATGCTAAACTATAATGTAAAAATAAAAGAAAAAATGCATGAAATGCAGCCTAAAATGCTCTAAAATAGCAAGCTATCATGCTACGACTTCTTATCAAGAAACTGGATAGTCCGGGTTACTCATGTGTTTAGGAAGGGTAATAGATTAACTGATGGATTAGCAGATTTGGTTTATTATTTGCCTTTTGGTTTTCATGCATTTGATTCTCCTCCTATAGAGATTATTTCTCGGTTTGTGAGTGTGTAGCTTATTAACAGTCTGAAAATAATAAAATGATGGGAATAATTGTTTCCATCCTCGTACCAAAAAAACAAAAACAGCCTGTCCCTTCAATTAAACGCCTTTAAATTCCTTCAAAGCTGTCAATGCTGATTCTGTAGACGAAAACTTTACTGCAAAAATCGCTTTCCCATCTTTTCCATCTTTCTTTGAGACCACATTGTATTCAAAACCTTCGAAGAAATTCACTGTTAAAATTATAGTTTTAAGTCAAAAGGAAATGTTTGAAAAATCAGATCAAAAATTGGTATAGAAAGACATAAATCAACTTATACATTGTTTTCGGATTTGATCCGCATCAGAAAGCAAGAGACAATCAATATCTAAAAATCTTAGATGTACGAAAATTGCACTCATTAACAATCAATTTAATTTGACTGCCACTAGTTCGTTTAATTTTTGGTTTTAATAGAAAATTGTATTCCATCAAATATTGGTAGAGATATGTGGCATCTTTATTTTGATGAATGGAAAATGTTTCATTTGAACGGCATGATTACCAATTACATCGAGTCTCTTGGATCTTCAAGATAATTAAGAGAGATTCACCGTCATCCAAATTTGACTAAACAGAACAAAACATCAAAAGATGTCTTACATGTAAAATCGTAAATACAAGTTCAGATTATTCTTATACCTTTAGAAGAGAAAATGAGCTTATGTCTGGAATAGTTGGCAATTCCTTATTTGTAATTTGTTTCTTACTCTGCCATAATTTTTTCTTCATTTGCTTCATTTTCTGTATTGATTAGAAGAAAAACAGTTAAAAACGATACAAAATTGTTTAAGCAAAGGTTTAGAAGAAGAGAGTGAAGTACCTCAGTTCCCTCTTCTGATTCGGTAGCAGAGGCTTTCCTCTTTTTTCTATTCCATGAAAAGGAGAAGCGAAGAAGATTGCTTAACATACGGCTACAAAAACTAGATTGGATAAACAACATAAGAGAATGACAACGGGTGATGTTAACTTTTACATAATCATCTACTTTTTATCAATTTTTAACAAAAGCAGAAAATACAATTTTGGTGGCTAGATATGATTGTGCCATCCCTACAAATTATTTGACAATAATTGTCATTTGCAAGGAGAAAAAGCTACAGAAGTCATATGAGACATAATCATGGGCAACTAATCTTGGATGAACGATTTAGTCAACTAAACTGTCGGAGCCACCATGGTGATGAGAAGTGAGAACTATCTTAACCGTGGCTATTTAAATGTCGTTTGTTTTTTTGCATTTTTATTGCTCAATATGTGACTTGAGGAAAAGCTTTTTAAAATGATATAGAATGAAAAAAATAATATGAAACGAGTATTCTATTAATGGAAAATTGTAAAAATAACCTTTATTTTAGGAATTTGGAGTATTTCTTCAATAAGGGTTCATTTTTGAAATAATTCACTTGACAATTTTATTAGAAAACATAACCCTTCTTAAAATGGTTCATAAGAGGTGTCCATTATTGTGCTTTTAATCTGTCATTAGTCTACCAGTAATTTGCATTTAGTCTGTCAATAGTCTACATTTAATTGTAAGACCAATCAGTAGTCTGCATTCAGTTTATCATTAATCTGTTATTAGACTACAAATAAAAGTAATTAAAAAATATCATAAATATTTAAAAAATCATAATATAGAGGTCATTTTTTTAATTTTTCCTTAAAAATTATTCTATTATTATTGATATGTATAAGAAAGGTGAGGTTTTTGTATAAAAACCAAGATATTAAAGCATCCATAACACATATACTAGGTTACTGCAGATCTTGTAACAAAATAACTCTCTTGTTATGAGTTTCTTAGTGGATGCCGATTGATGAATAGATAAACCAACCTTTTAATCAGCAGAATTGTTATTCATGGCTAACATATGCTTGAAGAGGTTACATGAGAAAGAGAAGCACAAATGTTTCTCCAACTTTTTAGTTACAACAAATGATAACAAAAATGCCGAGAAATGATACTATAGCACATAACTTCATTGCAAGAGTAAATTAAGGAGGAATTTCATCAACTAAAAGATATTGTTTAAAGTAATTAACTAAAAAGATTGTTTAAAGTAATTAACTAAATAGATTGTTTAAAATAATTAACTAAAAAGATTGTTTAAAGTAATTAACTAAATAGATTGTTTTTTTTTGACGTATTAAATAGGTTATTTAAAGTAATTATTTTTATACAGAAAAATGAACATAACAAAACAGAGACTTGTTTGATGAGAGGTAGACAGACGATATGCTGGATCAAAATCTGATATGACCTTCCGTACAGGAAGTCAAATAAAAAATAACCCTTATCAATCTCTCATAACCTTTCTAATATGAATTACCTACTTTACCCTTAATGAATCATTTCATTTAAAAAAAAAGAAAAATCACCCCAGTATCCCCCGCGAATAAAGTATAACTAGTACGACTGATACATCTAGTCTAACCGGATAACTAGTATAACTGGTACAACTTGTATAGGCTGTATAAGTGGTATAACAAGTACAACTACTAAGATGAATTACCTATTCTAGCCTTAATGAATCCTCATTTCTTTAATTAAAAAAAAAAAAAAATTTGTATTTCTTTCTCTTCCCCTCATCCGCGAGCGAACAAAAATAAAAAGGAGAGCATTCACTCTCTTTCAACAACTCTACCCAATCCCATTAATTAACTCTATCTTCCTTCTTCTTTTCGTTTCCTTTCTCCTCTCCACATTGCAGCAGATCCAAGCAAGGTTTGTTCTTCTTCCTTCTTCTTACTTTTTCTACTCTCTCTCTCTCTCTCTCTCTCTCTCTCTCTCTCTCTCTCTCTCTCTCTCTCTCTCTCTCTCTCTCTCTCTCTCTCTCTCTCTCTCAAAATCGTTTGCTGTGTGTTTCTTTGTTGATTTTCGTTAGAGTATATAGACATAGTAAACTTCATTTCAAAATCTAATACGGTTATACATTGGAAAGCTATAATATCATAACAGAACTAGGAAGTACAACTGGTACCATGGGTTAACTATGAGATAAACAGGGTATAACCGATATAACTAGTAAAACTAGAATAAAGTATAACTAGTACGACTGATACATCTAGTATAACCGGATAACTAGTATAACTGGTACAACTTGTATAGGTTGTATAAGTGGTATAATGGGTACAACTACTATAAATACATATACATAAATGGTAGGACTGGTACAACTATTGCGTGCTGATGTCGTTTATTGTTCTTTACAGAGGATAATGGATTGTTTCGTCATACATTTTGATCACAGCGGATATTATTCAGATCATGGCGATGATGTACGATGGAATAGGAAAGAACGTGGTGTTTCTACTCTAGTTATGAGGGGAAAGTTAGAGGAGATAACTTATTGTCGGTTAGTTAATAGGATAAGGAGTAAGATTATGGTAGATGAGGCGACGACAAAGCTTGTGCTGAGTTACCTTCCGTTGATAATCGAACCTATAAGGCCTTCCTATATCTTGAATGATGAAGATGTCTTAGGATATATAATGGAAGTCAATAGCAACCAGTGTATGAATGTTTTGCACGTGGAGCTTACGGAATTGAACTCAGAAAGCCAGAGTTCTAAGCAGATCAGAAGGGATGATGAGTTTGTGAGTGATGGTAGAGTAAATGATAGTATTGGTGTTGTTTAAGAGTTGGCGAATGGTCCACATGTTTCATATGGTGAAGATGCTCATGGTGAAGATGCTCATGGTGAAAATGCTCATGGTGAAGATGCTCATGGTGAAAATGCTCATGGTGAAAATGCTCATGGTGATGAAGCGGTTTATATGGATAGCTATTGTGTATAACACTGCTTACATTACACCTAATGTAGAAGATGATGAGGTTGTTAATGTTGAATGGGCAGATGGGCTGGATCTGGTTGTAGAACAAGAATTTAGAAGCAAGTTGGAAGTGCAAGAATTAGTGCTGAAAGCTGTGCATCGAGAGTGCTTTGAGTTTCGTGTGGTGAAGTCAACACCTGAGTTATATGTGGTAAAATGTCGTGTAGAAGGTTGCAGCTGGCACTTGCGGGTTTCAAAACCTAAGGATTCAAGTTTTTTAACCGCAGCAACATACCGGAATATGCATTCATGCTCTCGGCTGGATACTGCTGTAATCTAAGACAAAAAGAAAGGCACACCGAGTTTGGTTGCATATGTGGTACATGAGGATTATCCGGGCCAATACAAGACTCCAACTGCAAAAACTCTTGTAGATTTGGTACAGCATAGACTTGGTGTTAAGGTTTCATATTCTACTGCTTGGAGAGGGAAAGCTAAAGCTGCTAGTGATGTGCAGGGTAGTCCGGAAGAGAGTTTTTATATGCTGCCATCTTACTTGCATATGTTGGAGAGAGTGAATCCTGGAACAGTGACACGAGTGGAAGTGGATGAGGAAATTAGGTTTTTGTATCTATTCATCACGGTGGGAGCTTGCATTGAAGGTTTTAAAGCCATGAGAAAAGTGATATGTGTGGATGGAACACACTTGAAGAATGTACATGGTGGAGTGCTTCTAATTGCTCTTGCTCAGGATCCAGAGCACCACCGTTATCCCATTGCTTTTGGTGTAGTTGATGGTGAGAAAAATGATAGTTGGAGCTGGTTTTTTTATATGTTGAAAACAGTAATACCAGATGCTCCTGAGCTTGTGTTTCTTTCGGATAGGAATGCAAGTATAATCAAGACAATAAGTGAGGTCTACCCAAAGGCTCATCATGCGTATTGCATATTGCATTTGTGTCAGAACGTGAAAGCAGCCGTTTCTGGGCTTAGGAAAGATGTACTTGAAAAAAAGTTTTTGGAGTGTGCTCACAGCTATACATACTCTGAGTTTCAAATACTGTACCGTGATTTCAGGAAAAGGTATCCCGCTGCTGCTACGTATCTGGATGACAGTGTTCATGAGAGCAAATGGGCTAGATGTTATTTTCCAGGTGACAGGTACAACATAGACATCACCAACCCTGTTGAAAGTCTTAACAATGTTTTGGTAGACGCAAGAAAGTTATCGTTATTACCAATGATTGATGTCATTTTGGCAAAGACCATTGAGTGGTTTAACAAATATCGAAAGGTTTGTGCTGAAGTACCTGAGACACAAACGCTAGTGCCGCATGTGCATCAAGAACTGCATAACCAGATTCCGGTTGCAAAGTTGTTAATTGTGCAAGAGCTAAAGACCTTTCTGCGCGAGTACAATGTCATTGGTAAAGATGGCATTCCTTATTTGGTTGATTTGAACATGAAGACTTGCAGCTGCAAGTATTTTAATATACACAAGTATCCATGCTTGCATGCACTAGCCACCATCATAAAGGTTGCAGAAACATCAGATAAGGAGCTTAACATACCTGAATTTTGCTCAAAGTTTTATTGGATGGAGCTGTGGGCATTAGCGTATTGCAGAACGATCTATCCGGTACCTCATCATTCTACTTGGGATGTTTTTGAGGAAATACAATCTCAGCGTGTCTTACCAAAGCCTTACAATATAAAGAAAGGAAGAAAACAAGTGACCCGTCACTCGGGGGTTGGAGAACCTCGAAGAAAGAGGAAGAGTCGTGTGCCATTTCAGAGGTGGTTTGAGCCGAGAGAAAACTCTGGATGTTAGTTGTCTTTGGAGGTAATCTCTTTTGTATTTGTGCAACTTTGTATGACTGAGACTTGTATGCATATTATTTCTATCAGGTATGAGTAGGTACAACTAGCACAACCCTATATTCTGTGTCAAATATGTCTGGTACAACTGGTACGACTAGTACAACTCTACCTGAGTACAACTCGAACAACTACATTGTAGTTACACTGTCATAATAGTACAACTAGTACAACTACATTTTAGTTCAACTAGTACAACTAGTGTAACTTTTAATTACATTTAAGAAAATGCTTATATATATATATATATATATTCTCATGTTAAATAGGCTATCAAAACATTGCAAACATATTTCCACAACTACATTAGTGAGCTAAATACAAATTTTATAATTTGATTTGATGAAGATGTTATCTTTCCATAATCTATCATACACTTCTAAGGTTACTTTCACAATCTTAACCACACTAACATGGAAAACAAACTAGCAAAGTATATGTACATATTTAATAATATAGGAATATGTAGAATGTTGTTTATATACTTAATTTCGTAAGTACAACTAACGAAATTTTATTTAGAGAATGGTACCACCAATTACAAGTTTTTAGGGTCAAAGTACAACTCTTTACAATTAAAGTACAACTGGTTCCTTGGTACAACTCAATGTTAACGATTTGATTTTTTTTAAGCACGTGTTTAATGTTTTACACGATGTCGGTACACGTTTTTTCATTTAAATTTGCTTGCGGTGATTTTAAGTATTTTACATGGTAGTTGGACATAATAATACTAGTTGTACTTGTGATATTAAGTATATATAAGCATATTAAGTCTGAATATACTTAATTTCATAATAAGTCAAATATTTAAATTCATAATAAGTCTAAATACTTAATAAGTCTAAAAATACATAAAAACTAGAAAATAAGTTATTATTTTGGAACACAAAGGGGCTGCAAAAGATGTGAAGGCTTTAGATTTCTCTTAGGTCTTGGAGTTATTGGAGTTCTGGGAGATCTTGACTTCATATACTTTTTGATCAACCTCTTAGCTGTAATTTCACACTAAACTTGTAGACTTTTCTCTCTGCATAAAAAAAAAAAATTCAATGAAAATCAGACAAATAATTATAATCAAATTCTTAGTGAGATAATTAAAAGAGTAAAAAAAGTGTAAAAAGCGAACCATTTCTCACCAAAAGGAGGCTCGGCTGCGACAACATTGTCCTCTTGAGTCTTAGCGCCAGAACCTACAACACTATCCTCTTGAGTCTCTGCAACTTGAGTCTCCCCGCACCTGCATTATCATATCATATCATCATAAAAAAACAGCTATGTTTTATGAAGTACTGAAATATAAATCGAACCATTTCTTACCATGTCCACGGATTAAAAATCTGTTCCAACCGTCAACAATAGGGTCAATCGCATCATCATCATCAAGTAGTTCATAGTCGCACCATAGATCTTCTTCCATAAGCTCCTCCATGAGAACCATTTCATCACCCTCATGTTCCAAAACACTAGAAATATCCTAAAGCATACAAAAAATAAATAATTACACCAAAACACTACAAAAATGATATTTATGAAACTTATGAAAGTGAATTTAACCTTTGTATCTCCAAGAGTGGCATATATTTCATCCAAACCAAACCCACTTGCACCAGTCTCCCTAAACTTCCATCTGCACATTCTCGGACATCCAGTATCAGCACCTTCTACTTTTGTTTGAAACTTGGTCTTCAGAGCTGGAATAGATTCAAACGCTAAAATCTGCATATATAGTTTTATCAGTTATATCAGTTATATTGTCAGACAACTTATCTTAATTTGAAAAATATATGAAAAATACTATAGCACATACTTTGCTATGGTTAATTTATGAATTTAGCTTGGAAATACGGTCATATGACCCAATTTCTCCCCAAGGTTAATTGATCATTCCTTCTTCTAGAGAAGGTTATCTCAGATTTTGATCCCGATATGCGAACTCGTTTCACTAAAGACCTTTCTTTCTTCCATTCTCTATTGAAATCTTGTATCCATGGAGATAACTCTTCTTCTCCAATCACAATCTTCAGTGCCTTACTCCGTTCTTCTCTCAGACCAAACCATTTTACAATGTCTATCCTTCTCCAAGCTTCTACTGCTTCTTTATTACCTCATTCCTCGGTCCACTCGCTGAATTTACAAGTCGGAGTAGTCCAAACCCATCTCACAAAATCAGGGCTTGATCGGTTCGTTTACGTGAAAACATCTCTTCTTGATCTCTACTTGAAGATGGGTTTTGTTACGACGGCACGAGAGTTGTTCGATGAAATGCCTGAGAGAGATACCGTTGCTTGGAACGCTTTGATCTGTGGGTATTCACGAAATGGTTATGAATGTGATGCGTGGAAGCTCTTTATCGTAATGCTTCAACAAGGGTTTCTCCCTTCTGCAACCACACTTGTAAATTTACTGCCTTTTTGTGGACAATGTGGATTCGTTTCTCAAGGGAGGTCTGTTCATGGTATTGCTACAAAGTCTGGTCTGGAATTAGATTCTCAGGTGAAAAATGCGTTGATTTCGTTTTATTCAAAGTGTACAGAGTTGGGTTCAGCAGAAGTCTTGTTTACAGAGATGAGAGACAAAAGCACGGTTTCTTGGAATACAATGATCGGTGCTTATAGCCAGAGTGGTCTCCAAGAAGAGGCCTTTACTGTTTTTAGGAAAATGTTTGAGAAGAGCGTGGAGATTAGTCCGGTCACTATCATCAATCTTCTTTCAGCTCATGTTAGTCACGAGCCGTTGCATTGTCTTGTTGTGAAAACTGGAATGGTGAAAGATAACTCTGTGATTACTTCTTTGATCTGTGCATATTCAAGGTGTGGGTATTTGTATTCAGCAGAGCGTCTTTACGCGTCTGCTCCCCGAGATAGTATCGTTGGCTTAACTTCGATTGTTTCGAGCTACGCGGAGAAAGGAGATATGGATGTAGCGGTTGCTTATTTTTCTAAGATGCGCCTGCTGTGCATGAAGATTGATGATGTAGCTTTGGTAGGGATTCTCCATGGATGTACAAACTCTTCCCACATCGACATAGGAATGTCTTTGCACGCTTATGCGATCAAAACCGGATTGTGCACACAAACGTTGGTTGTGAATGGACTGATAACAATGTACTCTAAGTTTGATGATGTAGAGACTGTCCTGTTTTTGTTCGAGCAGCTCCATGAGTCTCCTCTAATTAGCTGGAACTCGGTGATATCAGGTTGTGTACAGTCGGGAAAGGCAAGCACCGCCTTTGAGGTCTTCCATCAGATGAAGCTAAACGGTGAACCTTTGCCTGATGCAATTACGGTAGCGAGTTTGCTTGCCGGCTGCTCTCAGCTATGTTGCTTACAACTGGGGAAGAGACTCCATAGTTATACTCTTAGGAACAATTTCGAAAAGGAGAAGTTTGTTTGCACTGCTCTTATAGACATGTATGCCAAATGTGGGGATGTAGTACTAGCAGAAAGTGTGTTCAAGAGCATAGAAGCTCCGTGCACAGCGACATGGAACTCAATGATCTCAGGGTACAGCTTATCGGGGTTACAAAGCCGAGCTCTTTCTTGTTACTCGGAGATGCGAGAGCAGGGATTGACACCTGACAAGATCACCTTCTTGGGGGTTCTGTCTGCGTGTACACATGGAGGACTTGTGGATGAAGGAAAGCTTTATTTCAGAGCAATGATCAAGGAGTTTGGGATATCTCCGAGTTTACAGCATTATGCACTTATGGTTGGTTTGTTGGGCCGAGCTGGTTTGTTTACGGAGGCGTTGAGTTTGATCTGTGAGATGGATAAAAAGCCTGATTCTGGGGTATGGGGTGCTCTGCTTAGTGCATGCATTGTGAACAGAGAGACGGAGCTTGGGGAATACATAGCTAAGAAAATGTTTATGTCGGATTACAGGAACGGTGGGTTATATGTGTTGATGTCAAACCTGTATGCATCAGAAGCAATGTGGGACGATGTAGTTAGAGTCAGGAAGATGATGAAAGATAATGGCTACGATGGTTACTTAGGAGTTAGTCAAACATAGTAACTTCAAAACAACAAAACAGGTTACTGATACTTAGTGTTCATACCGCTGTTTTTATTATTTTTTTGCCTGATTGTGTGGCGATGGTGAGAAGAATTAATTGAAAATGACAGAAGAAACTACTTTTTGGTTCATTTCTGAATGATTTTCGTGTGGAAGCTGCAAATACATACAACATGGATGGCTTCTCAAAGCCACGCTCCATTAACTATTAAGCTACCTGATGTGAGTATTTAATTTCTCCTCTCGATGAAAAGAATAGGAATGTAGAGGTACTCATAAAGTCTGCTTTAATCTTGAACTGTATGTGTTCTGAAATAACAAGTATAATCTTCTGGGCCGAAATGTTGCATTTGTGTATCTGTTAGGTTTAGACCATATGATCCAAAGGCAAGAATAAATATCTCTACTGTTGATGGATTCACTACTTTAAGGTAAAGTTTCTCTGATCTTTCAGTGACGCCCCCTAGCGAGGAATCTTTTCATACGGCGCTCCAAAAGAAAAGTACCACAATGTGCACACCCACTAAAGTTAGGGAAACTATAGTATTCCGGTTGATTTGTAGCCATCATAACAAAAAGCCTGCAACCTCCCATGTAACCTCTACCGAGTTCCATGGCCTTTTGTTCATCATCTACATCAATGAAAGCAAATCTGTAAAAAAAAAAAGAAAAACACAAGGGTCGGTCAATCTTCGAGTTGGTGCATATTAAACTAAAATAAAAATAAAAAATTGGAGAGGAACCAAGTCACAAACCCTAAGGGAGCACCGGTTTGACACTCTATGGGAACAAAAACCCTAGTGACTTCACATCCACATGACTCAAAATGCTTCCTCAATGCGGTCTTGATATCTTCCCTAGCAAGCGAAGTATCCAACCCCCTAACGAAGACAGAATCCTCGTTGTCTCCATCCGCATCTTCAGTTTCATAACAGCACTCATATGTTGTTAATTCCGCCATTTTCTCTGTGTGTTCTTCCTCCTACGTACAGTAAAAAAAAAACAGATTTCTTGGGAGTCAAGTCAGTAGAAACTAAATCAGCTAAGAGTGTAAAGTATCATCAGTAGAAAAAAAAACAGATACCTTGGATGAAGTATCCGGGGCCATTGGTGCAGTCAGTAACATCTCCTGCATTTTTTTGTTTTTTATAGTTTCATTCAAGTCAGCAACAGAGATTCCTAGTAACCAAAACTTATACGTTATTTCATCAAAGAAACATGTATATATTGTAAGATATTAATGATATTGTATATATTACTGAGGAATCGATTACAATGTATATAAGGAGAAGACTAACAGAGCAACACTAGGGTAAATCATCTGTACGAATCAATTACAATCCATCCTTTCCTTATATAGTCTACAAATCTATACCTTCAATGGGATCCCAGGCAGATCAGCATTTTGCAGGAAAAAATCCTGTAGGTTTTTCATCGTTTCAGTCATCTCTTTATAAGATTTCCTCAATTTTTTCATCTCCTGCCATTCGATTACAAGAAGAATGAATTTAGAAAAACTCATTGTCTTCTAGTGTGTTTCCATGATAGAAATCATTAAAATATCATGGATTAATAATTAATTCTTTTTTAAAACTTTCTTAAGAATCTAACCTTCTTCTTAGATGTCTTCTTGTGTGCTTTCTGCTTCTTTTTGGGTTCCAAGTCATCTTCCCTAATTTGCTACAAAACAAGTAATTAAGATATCTTAATGAGACTGATTAGCCATCTTAATTGGCACTTATGTCAACGCTAAGAAAAAATTAATATAACAGTAGAGTTAACTAAGAGAGTTTCTGACCTTGCTCTCAGATTTCTTCTTGCGTTTCTTCGGATTTACATCCGTCTCCGAATTCTGCAGCTCTCTCTCAGCTAAAAGAAAGCAAAAAGAAACACAGTTCAAATTAGCATAATCTCACCAAAGTATCTGCAATGTGTTAGCAGATTTTATATGGTGATGGCCTTCGAGCAATAAAGAAACCAAAATTCTTACCTTTCTGCAAAAGCTTCGTGCCCTTATGATCTGCTGCTTCAACATCGGTGGATGTGGAGCATCTCTTCAATCTATTGATCTCCTTGTCCATGGAGAAGATGAGTTGAAAACAGTAAGCGGCTAGGTTTCGAGGGGCAAGATGATCACTAGGATTAGCTCTAAAGAAAGTGACGAATTCACAATTCAAATTTCGGACCGGTTAATCGATGTATTTGGGGTTCGGGTTTCGATTTGAACCGTTAAAATCAAATAGCAAAAACGACATAGAAAGGCCCCCTAAAGGCCCAGATTCCATGGCTCCTGCTTTTTCGCCTCAACCCAAAATCTGGGCAATCGGTTCGGATTGGTTCTTTTCAGATTTTGATTATTTCGGTTTAAGACTATAGAACCAATTTGGGTATTTTTTATATTTCAAATCGGGTTTGGTTCGGTTCCACTTGAGTTTGGGTCGGTTTTGGATATCTAAAATTTCTAAAATTTATCTAAATTTCATTTTTTTTAAATTACTTTTTTAAAAAATATTTTGAATAAATTTTGCAAAAAATATTTAATTTTGACATATATAATCAAATAACTTGGGTATTTTGGTAATTTTAATTTAAAAATAACAAATATATTTCATTTTATAATTTTCTTTTAGAATTTTGATTATTTTAAATTTAAATTAAGATAATATATATATATATAATTATATTTTGAATATTTATACGGTTTTCGATTTGGTTTGGATTTAGTAGAGATATAAAAATGAAAGTTCCATTTAGATATTTACACTAGTTTTACTTCGGTTCAGTATCTGTTAATTCGGTTTTTAAATTAGTTTGATCAATCTGAGTTTTTTTTATGTAAAGAAGGTGAATGAAGAAGTCAATGGAAGAAAGAGGGACCACTACTAACCTAATCTCTTCTTGAATCACTGATGCTTGGAAAAAAGTTAGTTTTTTTTTTGTCTACCAAACTCCATAAATTAAATCAAAGTATATCAGCTTGATCTTGCAACCCAACCGGTTCGTTATGACTTACATGAGAAAAAGATAAACCTCGTGCTCGAGCCTCTTTAGCAAGGGCATCGGCACAGACATTTTGAATGTGAGGGATGAAACATATATTAAAAGTTTTAAAACCTAACCGCATAAAATCCAAATAGTCTAACTCTCAAGAGAATGCGGGCCAATCAATAGGTTCTTTAACCATCTTGATCAAATCCGCACAATCTGTCTCAAAACTGACAGCGACAAAACCCCTATCTCTTAAGCATGACATTACCCAGAGAAGGCCTTCAAACTCTGCTTGTAGGGGTGACAGACTCTTCCGACAGCCCTTCATGCCATACCAATGATGTCCCAACCCATCCTCGAGACACCACCCTAAACCACTAGTCGGACCATGATCAATCCAAGATGCATCAATCTGGCTGGTCAGAACATGGGAGGGCAATGGAAGGGGTATCCGAGTGTTTGGAGCCATGGGGGCTTGCTTTTCGTCTTCGTCTTCTTCTTCATCATCCTGGTTTGCCAATCTCCAGCTTTCCGCCTCAAGGCGGGCTAGTTGAAGAGTTTCTGAGGGGGGGGGGGGGGGGGGGGGGGGGGGGGGGGGGGGGGGATGTATCATAAGATCTAAGGATAAATATCCTTTTGAGGGTCGGGGAGTACCCTTTCCTTTACTTTCTAAAATAGGAAATCCATATTTCGATATAGAGATATACTCGGAAAGTAACTCGAAATAGACAAAAAGTCTGAGAGGGCCCACACTTGTAAGGCAAGGAGGCAATCAAAGAGGAGATGGTTTATCGTTTCTTTTGGTGCTCCACACCTCGGGCATCTAGCTTCGACATTCATATGTTGATATTTGAGGTGCTCATAAGTGGCCACACAACCAAACAAAGCTTGCACATAAAGTGCTGTAGTTTACTTGCTGTTTCAACCTTCCAAACCTGTCTGAGAAGGGGTGTGATGCTTGGTTCACTTGCTTCTTGTAAACCTTTTGTTCTCCTTAAGCAATCTTGCTTGATGATAGCCCGATTTTACTGTATACACTCTGGATTTTGTATGACTCCAGGCATACCCATCGAGGGTAAAAACACGACTTGGACGCATTCCTAGAACCAAGGGAATGTCTTCCGGATGGAGAAGATCCCTAATGAGCCTCTCATCCCAATCTTTTGTGCTCTGTGTTATTAGAGTATGGACCAAGAACCGGTTATCTTTAAGTATACCAGGATTAGCTGGTCTCAGTGGTCTATCTGGGATGGTTGGTATCCATGGCTCATTTCACACTTCTATATTAAAACCTGAACCTATCGTCTTACGCAATCCGCTCCGTAGTAGTGGTTTAGCCGCCATAAAGGTCTGCCACCCAAGTGATGGGGAATAAGGTTTGTGGTCGCCTAGGGGGTTAGATTGCCGATAGTATCGTCCTCTCAAAACCCGTGCTAGAAGAGAGGAAGGGAATTGGATTAGGCGCCATAACTGTTTAGCTAAGAGGGCTAAGTTAAAATCACGCAGATCGCAGAATCCCAAGCCACCCAACTCCTTTGGGGAACATAGCTTATCCCATACGATCCAGTGGAGACCTCTACTGTCGTGTTTTGAGCTCCACCAAAAATTTGAGATAGCACTCGTGAGTTTATCTGTCAAGGTTCGTGGTAGGAGATAACACGATATAACATAGTTCGGAATTGTTTGGGCAACTGATTTGATCTGGATCTCTTTGCCCTTTTTTGATAAGAGTTTTGCCGACCACGAATTGGTCCTGTTATTTAATCGATCATGGACATAAGCGAACACTTTCTTCTTTGAGCCACAAATCTTCTCTAGGAGACCCAAATGCATGCCCATTCCTCCTTTGTTATTTATAAATATGGCTATTTTGATCTCTTGTTTAGCTAAGTTGTTCACTTTACTCCCAAAAAGGATAGAGGATTTCGTCGAGTTAAGTAACTGGCCAGAAACATCCTTATATGACTTTATGATGTGAAAAATCTCCGCACATTGCGGGACCTCTGCTTTGCAGAACAAGAGTGTATCGTCAGCAAAAAGGAGATGAGACACAGTTGGGCTGGCTCTTGTAATCCTCAGGCCTGTAATGTGTTCTTCTTCCTCTGCTCCCTTTAGGAGGGACACAAGAGCTTTGGTACAGATGATGAACATAAAGGGTGATAATGGGTCTCTTTGGTGAAGGCCTCTTGTGAGTTTTATCCTCCCCTTAGCCTCTCCATTGATAAAGACTTTGTAAGAAACAGACGAGATGCAGAACATCAAGAGCTTTACCCATCTCTCAGCGAAGCCCAACTTAAGCTGAAGGGCTTCTAGAAAGCTTCATTCCACCTTATCATAAGCTTTGCTCATATATGTCTTTATGGCCATAAACTTCGAGTTATATATGGGGTTTTTCGGAGGGCGTGGAAGTTTTCTTGTGCTAACATGATATTATTTGTGATAAGACGTCTAGCCATAAAGGCTGGTTGGGTCTCCGAAATCAGAGTCAGGAGTACTCTTTTTAGTCTCTTGCAAAAGAGTTTCGAGATGATCTTATAAATCACATTGCAAAGGCTTATTGGTCGGAATTTTGGCATTGCTCTCGGCTTATCCTTCTTGGGGATGAGGCAAATGTTCGTCTGGTTTAGTTTGGGGTCAAATTTTCCGGTTGCAAAGAAATCCTTAATCAGCTTCGTTATATCATGGCTCGTAACCGACCAAAACTTCTGAAAAAAAGTACTCGTCATACCACTTTATCGGGATTTATATAATGTTTTGTAGTACATCGTTAACTATTATTTTGTGCAAATATAGTTCATCGTTGACTAAATTATACTTTATGTAAGTACAAACACAAGAACATGAGTTGGATATATAGTCAAAATTTGAATAAAGACTAGAAAACTTATATTTTTTTTTAATGAGATTAACTTGGCACATAAAGAAACACATTGGTTATTCGCCGCTCTATAAACTTTTCAAACTCTTCATTATCCTTTTTTTATGTCACTGAAGATTTTATTAACAAACCGGAACCAATACAGCTTTGGGATACTGAGGTGGAATACAAGGGAAATACACAAAAGTACCCATATCACCGCACCGAAACAAAAGAAAGAACCGAAGAGAGAGCATAACCAAACAGAAAAGAGAAAAAACGCAAAGCTCAACCCCTTGCTGAAGAACTATACCTGAGAGAAGGCAACCAAGTACTCAAACGAACCTTTTACGCCGAAGATGACTGAAGAACAGAGTATACAAGGGACACAACCAAGAAGCCGCCGACACATCGCGAACTCCAAAGGTAGGCAGCCACAAGCACTCACCAGACACAACATCGACAGAAGCACGATAACAGCCCCAAACAAGCACAGAGAACAGGCGCAAGCTTCAAAACATCCATACTTAGAAACCGGAGAAAGATAGAAGGGAAGGGCCAAGATAAATAAAATCTTAAATGACCGCCAGAGGACAAGCCAAAAAATACGCATCCCCTGCACGCGCACCTAGCGAACCAATAAGGGCCACCTACTGACCAAAACCGGCCACGACATCGCTAGAGCAGAGAAAGAATCAAGACCACTGAAGTTTTTTTAGCCCAAAAAGGACTTGTAGATGCCTAAAGCAGAAAACCATCCAGATGGCAAGCTTCGAGACCGAACCTAAAACTCCACTCAAACTTCGGCTAACAAGACCAGACGAACGAAGAAGAAGAGAGCGGAGACAACACATCAAATCAGAAACAGGCGACCAAAGCCACCAACCGCTGCTGCTAAAAAGCCCAGCCAACCAAACTAGGACCAAAGAAGGAGCTGCCGAGAAGAGGAAGAACAAAGAGCCGCTGCTGATACACTGGGAAGAAGAAGAAATCTCGGCGAAGACAGTCAACAAATCCTCGGAAGGCCAGAATCCCTTGAAAACCAACCCGGAGACAGGAAACCGCAGCCTTTAGGCACCAAGAAATGAAGCCCTATCAGCTACAGAGCTCACACCACCGGAGCAATCCGAACAGCCGCTCAAACCCAAGCGAGAGAGAAAGACTCCCGGACAACACGAATCCAACACTATTGCCGTCCTCGAGCAAAAGGAGAAGGAGAAGGAGCCGGAGGAACATGCACCCGCTGGAAGACGACCGACGAAAGCACCCACCGATGCCAACTCGACAAACCCAGATCTACGGCTAAAAGCGAGTCAAAAGGCAGTAAAAGAGAGACCACAAGAAAGAGGGAAGAAAGAGGGTCCATCTCACGGCAGAGGTGAGAACCACCGCCCACCGGAAAAGGAGATCGGAGCACTTGATAACAACGACGGAGAAAACAAAGTTTGGGAGAGAGAGACGCCGCTTAAAGACGAAAAAAGTTGAAAAGTTGTGTGATTTTTGACTCTTCATTATCCTTATGTAATTTCATTTTAAGCAACATTGCAGTAAGAGGTTTTTGGTAGGTTGATGTTACTCTATGACAGCAGATAGGCGTTGACCAAAAGCATGAATCTAACAATTGTCTGAAGTTTTTTAAAAATAAGTAAATTAATTCGTTTAGTTTTTGGTTTTATGATAAAGCTGTATTTCATTAAATATTGGTAGAGGTATATAGCATATTTATTTTGATGAATAATAACTTTTCATACAAAGGCCAAGATCACCAATTGAATCGGCTTCTCGGATTTCTAAAATAAGAGAACTTTACCATCATTCGAATTCGACTAAACAGAATAAAACATCAAAATATGTTATACATATAAAATTGTAAATACAATTTCAAATCATTCTTCTACCTCCAAAGGAGAAAGGGAGCCTATGTTTGCCAAATTTAGCAACTTCTTGTTTAAGTCTATAGTTTGTTTCCTAATCTGCTTGAAAATTTTCATAGTTGAAGAAAAATCTCAACAATGTTAATTCATGATACCTATTGCAGAAATAGGCTAACTTCTGCAAACGATTACAACAGCTCTTTCTGCAAATTAAAACCAAGAACTTTTTTGTGCAAAATTAAAATCAAGAACTAAAATCATAAATCAATAGTTATCACGAATTATAGTAGTTTGAGAACAAATCACGAATTAATAGTTTGAAATATCAGATTTTGTAATTCTATCAACGATGTTAAAGCTCATGATCTACTTAGTCTTTTGCAAGTGCCAAGATCCCCAGTCCATTTATTTTGGTCTCGAATACAAAGTACTAATCTGGTTTACGGTTTAATTTGGTCTTGAATACAAACTACTAATCTCGTTTCGGCTGAACAGATCTATATTCGGTTGAAAATGACTAAAAGAAACTACTTTTTGTTTCATTTCTAGATGACTTACGTGTGGGAGCTACAAATGCATTAAAACATGGATGGCTTCTCAAAGCCTCCAAGACGCTCCATTAAGCTACCTGATGTGAGTATTCAATTTCTCATCTCGATGAAAAGAATAGGAAAGTACAGAGCTATTCATAAAGTCTGCTTTTAAACTTTGAATCTTGAACTGTATGTGTTCTTTATACCTCGAGCATTGACAAACAAAAACAAGTATAACCTTGTGGACTGAAATGTTGCATATGTGTATCTGTTAGGTTTAGACCATATGATCCAAAGGCAAGAATCTCTTCTGTTGATGGATTCACGACTTTAGGTAAAGTTTCTCTGATCTTTTAGTATAATGACTTTAACAAAATCAAGATACAGTGATGAAAAACACATCCTCAAGGTCCTCAACAATGTAAATTACCTCAAAATCAAGATACAACACTGTGTTTTCTTTTCTGTCTCTCTCTTTAGACCTAACTATGAATGAATCCCACTACCGCATCTATTATCGCAGGTCAAACCATCTCTCTTCATCTTCTCCTCTTTAGCCTTGCGACAAAACACAACCCACGAGTTAACTTCCATGGCCACACAGACACCAACAAGCGTCGAGAGACACATACAGTAACCGAGCTTCGCGTACGAGCTCCCTTCCCTCAAAACCTCGAACCCTTGAAACACATTCACCACTCCCATCACGACGCAACCGTACCCTACAAAATGATGGTAAGACTTCCAATACCTCCTGTACTTGTTGGTCGTCTTTGGCCTGAATAGCAGAGCCAGCGTTTGCAGCCCCGCCGCAGTGAAGGTAGCTATCCCGAGGCTCCGGTGTAACCCGTAGGTTACTCCTGGAGAATCCCGGCCGAGGATGATTCCGAGCGAGAAACCGATTGTTCCCAGGAGGAAACCGGTTAGCTGTATTGCTGCGTGGATGTAGAACCAAGTAGGTCCCACTGATTGCATTTGACGGAGGTATCGAGCTGTTACCGCTCCCGCCGGGAGGAGAAATCCCCACGCCACCGCATTGATTACTCCGTGTATCACTTTCAAAACTCTTGTACCGCTGTTCCGTTTAACCGTCGCAAATCCTATAGTAAACAAACTATATAAGTCTAAAGTAATATATAAAAGACATAATACGTAAGACACACGGACCAATACCTGAAGTGACATCGAATGTGGAGAAGGAGGAGAGATCAGTGGAAGTAGTGGGATGAATGGTTGGAGAGTAGCCTTGAACGTAGAGACCTCTGTTCCAAACATGATGGATCTTGGTGTTGTTCGACGAGAGTTTCACGGAGGCGTAAATCTGAACGGAGGCGCCGTTACGGATTGTGGCTATGTTACCGCCGTAGAGAGAAGCGGAAGAGGAGGAGAGACGGAGGAGGTCAAGCGGACGAGAAAGCAGAGGAGATTTCTGGAGCTTGACGGAGGAATCAAGAACGTAAGGGAGGAGGATGAGCTGGCCGGAATTGGGATCCGGAAACGCGACTAGGACTCGAGAGCCGGTCATCTGCGCCGGAGAATCCGGGTTAATCCCCCACCCGACCCACCCGGAAGGTGAGATGAAAGTACCGAAGAAACAGAGGTCGAGAGTTGCGTTGTGTGGATGGTATGTCCACGCGATTGAAGCTTGTTGTGTCGGAAGAGAGATGCATTTCTCGAAGGTTTTTGTCGCCGTCGTGGTGGTACACTTTCCGGCGAGTGACGCCGGAAGTTGTGTTGCTAGAAGTAGCACGAAGAAATAGAATGTTATAGTCGTCGACATTGCTCGATCATCTCTGTTTCTGTTTGGTGTAATCGGATTATATGTAGTGAAAAATTTGGTTATGATTGCAACCAGAATCAGTGACGACTTTTTTGTCATTTTAATTTTTTTTATTTGAGATGAGATTATGGTTTTTTTTCATAGAAGCCTTTGCTTTGAAGCTAAGTGATGATCACTTAAAAAAAAAAAAAATAATAAAGTGATGATCACTCACCACGACACAGTTGGTTGGTTGTGTAATATTTGGGACATCTTTTTACGATATAATTATTATGGTTTCTCATGCGAATTAAATTAATAAAATCTGACGTGGATAAATGACGACATGAAAACGACGGCGTTTCCGATTTGTGAAAAGTTATTTTTTTTTTCTCTGGAGAAACGAAGACGAAAGATGGTGACAACAATGGCGATGAAGGTGAGCTTGGAGGGGAAGAGAGTGGTTTTGGTTCCGTACATGGCGGAGCATGTTCCTAGGTACCACAATTGGATGCAGGACTCGGCGCTTCTCCAAGCCACTGGATCTGAACCGTTGAGTCTTGAGCAGGAGTATGAGATGCAAATCTCCTGGACTCAAGATCCCAATAGTATAAACCCTTCTAATTTTTTCCATCTTCCAGCACTTTTTCTTCTTTTAATTTCAGTTTTAGGGTTTAGGGTTTTGTTCTAGACTACCCCCGGATCTCAAAGTTGACTTCTTTTTCATCTGGGTTTTGATCATTAGACCACTATACTCATGATTTTCTATATTGAGTTCGTTCATCTTTAGTAATGTTTGCTAAATTTGATTTCACCTATCCGAAATGTGTTAAATTGATTCCTGTCTATTAACCAATTAGCAATTAGTGGAGTATAGATTCATGACAATTTAGACTTGATTAGGTCCATCTGCTTATCAAAATGTAGAATCCCTGATGCTTCTGTTTGTTGGTTACAGAGCGGACTTTCATTGTGCTGGACAAGGATTTCATAAAGGGAGAATTGGCTCATGGTGAACCTCATGAAGAAGGTTTGTTTCCTGTGTAACTTTACTTGAAAAACTGATGAAATAATGGAGATTAATTTAGCATATGCATCAGTTTGTGGAGTCTTCTATATATAGCTATTGTGACAAAGTGGCTTTAATTTTCACTATTTAGTGGAATTTTTCTTGTAACAAAGTGTGTTTAGTACCCGGAAATGAGAACATATTTTTATAAGTAGTAACAAAGAAATATAAATCTGGTTGGCTTTATTTTTTGTGTTTGATTGTTGAAAAGAAATGTCTACTTAGATGAGATTAGATGTAAACAAAAGTAACGAAAGATTTTGTGCAGCCATGAGTGGTGATGTGAACATTTACATGAACGATGTGGACGATCCTAAGGTGGCAGAGGTTGAAATAATGATAGCTGAGCCTAGAAGGTTGAAATTTTCTTCTTTCTAAACACTATGGTTGAGATTCTCTATTAGGTGTGATACACATGAATCTTCATTTTGTTACAAACTTTTGGTGTAGAGTAGCCGTGGTAAAGGATTAGGAAAGGAATCTGTCTTGATGATGATGGCTTACGCTGTCAAGAACTTGGAGATTCACAAGTTTACAGCCAAGATTGGGGACTCAAACACAGCTTCCCTCAGCTTATTCCGCAAACTTGTACAATCACTCTGTTGTCTTAAGATGTTGTATGTACTTCACACTTGAATCTAAAAAGAAAAAATTGCTAAACACACCTCTTGTTGTTGTTGTTGTTTTATAGGGTTTCGAAGAGTCTTCTTACAGTGGTATCTTCAAAGAGGTAAAGTAGTGTTTAGCTTTAACAAAGGATGTTTCCTTTTTCTGTTCCGTTCTTGTTTAAACTGGAGTGAGTTTTCTCAGGTTACACTCGAGTTTACGGTGACAAGTCTCCGTCGAGCAGAGCTCTTGAAGTTGTTAGCTGATGTCATTACGCACACTTATTCATCGGACAATCCATCGGATTCGCTGCTAACGGGAGAAGCTATTGCATAGAGCTTTTTGTTCAGTTCTTATTATTATTGTTAGAGATCATGTACACTAACCAAAACGATGGTAGCTACTAGCACAATATCGATTTTATGCAGCCTTACAGTTTCCAAAATCCCAAACCAAAATATGTAAACCAAAACCAATTGGTTTTATTAGTTGAAAAATTGAATAACCAAATTTGAACTCGAAATTTAACCGGTTTTAGTGAATCCTAGTCAAATAAACCGAATTGTGTAATTATATTGTACGCATTCATTATTTTTTAAGTTTTGTATAAATGTAATACAAACTTATTCGAGATTCATTAAACCAAAATTAAAACCAAATGAAAAATGGTATTTTTCCGTTTCATGTAAAAGCTAACAAAATAAAAAAATCGTAAAATCCAAAACATAGTAAATCGTATACCGGATTAGTACTTTGTATTCGACACCAAATTAAACCGTAAACTGGATTAGAATATTATATTCGAGTCTAAATTTAACTGTAAACCGGATTAATACTTCGTATTGGAGACCAAGTTAAAATGTAAACAATAAACCAAATTGAACCGTAAACAAAACCAAAACGTGGTCTTATGTTATCCTTCCACTTCAGACTCAATCCACTCATAAGAGAAAGTTTTCACCACAGAGATTCTTCCATAATCCCAAAAATCCCTGCGAATTCTCGCGGGGCCTAATTCGAATTATAATGGCTTCCTCTCGTTGTCTACTCTTTTCTTCTTCCTTCCTCTCCAAACCCTCTTCCTTCACTTCTTCTTTGAGACGCTTTGTTTACCTTCCGTCTCGCACCTCCGGATCCTGGCCAAGGCGACATGGTTTCTCCACCGTCTTCGCCGTTGCCACCGAGCGGGCTATCTCCAGCACCGGTCCTAATAAAACGGAGTCGTCGACTGTCCCGCTTCCAAGCAATGACTCCTCCGATAAGCTGCTGAAAATTCGCCACACGGTAAGCTATTTTGGCTCTGTTTTCTGTACTGCGATTTTGAGTCCGACGCAAATTAGTTAATGTTAGGAGAAATTACGTAATTCGATCAATTTCTTTAATTTTTATGCTGTTAGCGAATTGGGGTTCTACAAAAATCTGAATTTTTGGGTTCAGTTATATAATAAATGTTTGGAGTTTGGTAATACTGTTATTGGATAAATGTTGATTTTTTATGCTTAAGGAATCAATTTCTACTTGTGGGTTACTTGTTGAGCTATTAGCCAAATTGGGTTTTTGAAAAGTTTGGAGTTTAAATCAGTTTCATAAGAAACGTTTGGAATTTTGGTAATACTGTTTTAGGAAAATGTTATATCTTGAGCTGAATGATTGTGAGTTTGATCATTTTTTATTGAACGTTTATGCTGTTAGCCAAATTGGGTTTTGCAAGAGTTTGTATTTTGATTCAATCTCATGAGAAATGATTGGAACTTTGGTATATGTTTTTTCAGATAAATGTAGAGTTTTTATGCTTAGTGTTACCAGTTTCTCTACTTGTGGGTAACTTGTTGAGCTGAATAGTTGCGCTTCATTTGAATTCAGTGTGCACATGTAATGGCCATGGCAGTACAAAAACTCTTCCCAGATGCAAAAGTGACTATAGGGCCTTGGATTGATAACGGTTTCTACTACGATTTCGATATGGAGCCTCTAACAGATAAAGACCTCAAAAAAATCAAGAAAGAGATGGTGAGTTTTTGATGATGTTGGGTAATGTTGAGTTGTAACTGATACTTTATAGACTGACTTTGATTTCTCGGTACACATAATCTTGTAGGATCGTATCATCAGTCGGAATTTACCACTTTTACGAGAAGAAGTATCTAGAGAAGAAGCGCGGGAAAGGATCATGGCGATCAACGAGCCTTATAAGATGGAGATTTTGGATACTATCAAGGGAGAACCCATCACCGTTTACCATATCGGTTAGCTTGTAGCTTCTTGCATCCCCATGCTTTTGTTTTTCAAGTAGCTGTCTCTAATTAGTTCATATACTCTAAGTTTGGTAATAGCTTGTCTCCATCTTATGCCAGTTCAAAAAATGCCCATCTAGGTAATGAATGGTGGGATCTTTGTGCTGGACCTCATGTCGAAACCACAGGGAAGATAAACAAGAAAGCTGTTGAACTTGAATCTGTTGCTGGTGCTTACTGGAGAGGAGATGAGAAGAGGCAAATGCTTCAGAGGATCTATGGAACAGCTTGGGAGAACGAAGAGCAACTAAAAGCGTATCTTCATTTCAAAGAAGAAGCTAAAAGGCGTGATCATAGACGAATTGGCCAAGACCTTGATCTGTTTTCAATCCAGGTAATAGCTTCAACAAGATATTGTCTACTTTCATGAAAACGTATGTTTGCTTAAGCTTTTTCTCAACTGCAGGATGAAGCTGGAGGAGGGTTAGTGTTTTGGCATCCGAAAGGCGCGGTTGTTAGAAACATAATCGAAGAATCGTGGAAAAGGATGCACGTCGAGCATGGTTATGATTTGATCTATACCCCTCATGTCGCCAAAGCTGATCTGTGGAAGATCAGTGGTCACTTGGACTTCTACAGAGAGAACATGTATGATAAAATGGAAATTGAGGACGAGCTTTATCAACTCAGGCCCATGAATTGTCCTTACCACATCTTGCTTTACCAAAGAAAACGTCAGTCATATCGAGACTTGCCCATAAGAGTCGCAGAGCTCGGCACAGTCTACAGATACGAGTTGTCTGGTAGCTTACACGGCCTCTTCCGTGTCAGAGGGTTCACACAGGTTACCTCAGATGTCTTTAAACCTAATCTTATTAAGTACTTAAATTAACTCGATTAGCATTTGCTTTGCCAGGACGATGCACATATATTTTGTTTAGAGGATCAGATCAAAGATGAGATCAGAGGTGTTCTTGATCTCACAGAAGAGATACTGTCGAGGTTCGGGTTCGAAAAGTATGAAGTTAACTTATCAACTAGGCCTGAGAAATCAGTTGGGAGTGATGATATATGGGAAAAGGCAACATGTGCTCTTAAGGATGCTTTGGATGATAAAGGATGGAGCTATGAGGTTGATGAAGGAGGCGGCGCCTTTTATGGCCCGAAGATCGACCTCAAGATCGAAGATGCATTGGGAAGAAAATGGCAATGCTCAACTATACAGGTTGAGTAAAAAGCTTCTTTCGACTCTTGTAGATCTCACAAGCTGCTTCTTTATTTGAAACTGGTTCTTGATTTGGCTAGCAGGTCGACTTCAATCTTCCTCAGCGATTCGACATTACTTATGTCGACACAAACTCGGATAAGAAACGTCCTATTATGATCCACAGGGCTGTTTTGGGATCATTAGAGAGATTTTTCGGGGTTCTCATCGAACACTACGCAGGGGATTTTCCGATATGGCTCTCTCCTGTTCAAGTTCGGGTTTTGCCTGTCACAGACAATCAGGTTTTATGACTCTTGTGCTGTTCTTCTTGATCTGAAATTTATGAATACAAGATTCTGACTTAATGAAGATTTCTGCAGTTGGAGTTTTGCAAGGAAGTGAGCAAGAAGCTGAGAGCTTGTGGAGTGAGAGTTGAGTTGTGCCATGGAGAGAGGTTACCGAAGCTGATAAGGAACGCAGAGACACAGAAGATCCCGTTAATGGCGGTTGTGGGGCCTAAGGAAGTCGAGACAGGAACTGTTACAGTTAGATCGAGGTTTGGAGGAGAGCTTGGGACCATTCTTGTTGATGACTTCATCAACAAAATCAACATTGCTGTTGAAACAAGAACTGCTCTGTAGCATTTATTGTAAAGAGTAGAAGGGTCACACGGATCTTTGTTAAGACTATTTATTTATTTATCCTCAAATTCCTTAAAGATTATAAGGGCCAGATAAAATCTTTTCTACGAAGTACAAAAAGAGGCATTCCCCCTCTCTCTCTCAAAAAAGAGTTATTTACCTAGAATAACTTTACTAAATAGGGTATTGACTAGAATAATTCTTTTCCATGATCGTGTTACCTAGGGTAGGCACAAAAATCATAACCGGAAAAACTAAATCATACCGAACCGAAAAAAGTGATATGGTTTAGTTATGGTTAAACCTAAAAATCTATTTGCCCATCATTTTTTATAGCTTTAGTTTAGGTTTGGTTTGGTTAAAAACCGTCAAACCGAATTTTTTTTCGGTTTTTAAACTAAATTTTAATTAATTTATATTTTCCTAGTTTATTAATTTAGTTTAAGTATATATTTTATTATTGAGCTTAGTTATCTTTATAATTTACTAACTTAACTCATAAATTTAAAATATAATATTTATAAAAAATATCAACATATAAATAATAAAGTAAATCTTAATTTTTCAATAAAAAAAACATGATTAACTCTTGTTTCTTCACATTCAAATCTTTTGGTTCTAGTTCCAAGCTTATAGGTATTAAATTTTAATCTTGCTTTGCTTATTGTTTTATAATTATTGATTATGAAAGATTTGATAATTTGTTTGTTTCTCTGCTTTGAAATCTGTTCTTATTGATGAATTTTTTTTATGATTTAGATTCTATTTTTTGAACTTATTGTTTTATTTCACTCATATTTATTATTATTATTTTCATTAGTTTAAATCAAAAAATTTCGTAAATTTCAAAAAAACCGAAACCAATCCATACCAAACCGAACCATAAAAAACCAAACCGTACCAAACTGAAATATATATAGCTTTTATATGGTTTGAATTTTCGTAAAACCGATAAACCGTAAAACCGAAGAAACCAAACCGAAACCAAACCGAAAACCGAAGTGCCCACCCCTAGTGTTACCAGACTAATCTTAATAAATTTGTAAAAGATCATTTAGCCAAAACATGTATAGAATAACGAAAATGCCATTATAGAAAAAAATAAAATTTTATTAATTAAAAAAATATATTATTTAAAATTTGAAAAATTAATTATTGTGGAAAAATATATATTTACATATATATAATAAATCTAATTTTTTTTCTCTCTCATTTCTTTTCCTTCTCTTTTATTTCTCTCTCTCTCTCTTTCTC